AAAGCGTTCAGTTCAGGGCCCTGGTTAAAGTCAGTTGCGATCAACAAGATCGCGCAACATCAGCCCAAATTTGCGACCCTCGTGGCCGGCAACACCAGCAAATTGCGTCAACAAAACAATCCCCAGCAATCCTTATGGCCGGCTGGGCAGCATCAGCCCCAATTGCGTCAACAAAAGAGGTGGCTCAGAGCAATTGCCCAATCCTTATGGCCGACAACATCAGCCCAAATTGCGCCAACTCAACACAGCAATCATGGCCGGCTGGGCGACGTCAGCCCAACTTGGGATCCTCATGGCCGGCAACGCCAGCCCAAATTGCGTCAACCAAACAACCCCCAGCAATCCTTATGGCCGGCTGGGCATTGCGTCAACAAAAAAGGTGGCTGTAGCAATTGTGCAATCCTCATGGCCGGCAACATCAGCCCCAATTGCATCAACAAAAGAGGTGGCTAGAGCAACCGGCAACAGATGTCCTTCTGGACAGCACATCTCCCAAACCCCAGATCAAAACCAAACCCCGGATCAAAGGAAAATTCTTTTTTGGTAAGCTTGGGAGATCAGGGTTGAGTCCCCTGAAGGAACGCCAGCACTCCCATGACATGATTTCGACTGAGGACCTACCACGTTCGTTTGTGACCATCAAGTCCCTCCTCGCATTGCGACCTGCGCGAGAGTTACCACTTCAACCCGGTAGCCAGCAACGCTACCTGGCGGCGTCCAATGCGGCCCAAGATGAACCTCGGCAAGGTTCGGCGGGCCTGTTGTTTGTTGGACGCAATGATGAACGAGATGCCTATGTCGTTGACATCATGGCGGAGCTCTTCACCCTTTGGTCTGACCACCCCACCAAGATTGCCCAGTTGGAGTTGCTTACAGTTTATTATGTGGGATTTATCTTTGTGGCCAGTCAGGCCCGCGCTTGTCACAGCTTACGCACATGCATGCCCTTAAGCAAATTGTCTCGCTTGATGCCTCGCTAACTAGTATGGCGTTTGACGAACAAGATTACAAACAAGCTGCAGTCATCTATGCCAACCTCAATGCCACAGCCTGCTTCTATACTACTGCGTTGAGGATACTCTCTAAGTCAGACTGGAGCACACATGTTGAATTTGAAGACCACATTGTTCATCAAGCGATGAAAGCCGTTGCTCAGGGATGGACCACTGCCGTCAATTTGCGCAATCACACTTTGGGCCCTTTCACCTAGCGCTTGCAATGTGCACTCTTCCAAAACAAGTACATGGAGAAGTACAACGCACCTTCGATTCAATGGCGGTTAGCCTCCCTGCACCGTTTTTGCAGAAAATTTGCTCTTTGGTTACCTTTGATTGTGGCGTTTGTGGAGTTAGCTCATCGCATTTTGTGTCAACGTTCTTTGTTTTGCAGCCACTGCCACAAAACGCACTGGGGCATGACTATTTCAACTCAGAAGTGCCATGGACAAACAAGTTATTGCTAAGCGATACAGCAAGTGGGCAGCAGTACTGCAATGAGTGTGCTTCTTCTAGCAACTTTCTAGTTAATACTAGTGCTGCTAGCCGCTTAGTATGGCTGCAATATCTCAGAGAATCCCACCCACCAGCAAATACTTACAGGAATTTCCTGGGAAAAGATTCCCTTTTCTCCGGTGGATACTCCTGGCAATGTGTGGCGCTGATAATGCATCAAGGTCATGACCCATTGAATGGCGAACAGCAACCTGCTGAACATTTTTATGTTCTTGAAAATGAAGGACCGAAAAGCAAATTCTTGTGTTACAACAATGCTGTGGGACTACATTACATTGATGACTCCAAAATCAAGGATGGAGACCGCATTTGTGTTTTTTTTTCGTGCCCCAAATGTCGCCACCAAGTGGTCTGGGCCATGTACCTACGCTGTTAAGAAAACCAAAAACCCTCCTGCTCGAAGATCAGGGTTCAGTAAAAAGTTCAAGACCAGCGGAACAGGGAAGAATCTTCTGAACCCCAAAAAGAAAGGCACTTCCGACAGCACTTCCAAGAAGCAAGACTGTCTTTCGGACGACCGTCAAACTATACTGACCCCTTTTGTTATGACTGCATCGAACATTGCGGCTCTTGAGACGTATGGGCCCCCTCCTGATGATGCTACCACTGTTCCAGCAGAAACGGTACAGATTATTGAAGATGAAATCTCGCAATTTAGTGAGATACATCAAACTGTCCTTACCACTCCGAATGGTGGCGGTGATCCAAGTCACTGTCCCTCTCTGGTTGTTCGATCATCACAGATGCATTCTCCTGGCATGAGTCGTCCAGGTCCTTACACTATCGATCCACAGCACAGCGGGGGTGTAGAAACGCAAGCTAAATCTCCTCCCGAGCATGCCACCTCAAGTGTTACACAAAAGAGGTCCGTATGCCATCCTAAGTATGTTCGACGGATGCGGATCCTCCGTTGGTATCATTGAAGCCAAGTTCGGCTACAGACCAAAAGCATGTATCCTATGCGAAAAGGACGAAACCCTCAGGTATTTAGTTGGAGAGAAGCATGGTATTACTGTTGATCAACGATGGCAGCACAGTCTCAAAGGAGGTGGAGCCTTCTACTATGCCAAAGATGTTGACGCACTGTTTGTTGACAATGCACGGCTCCTTCGAGAGTTTGTTGCGCTAGCATCTGACTGCTTTTTTTATTATTGGTGGCAGTCCGTGCACTGACCTCACTTATGCAGGGGAAGACCATGGCCACTTGGGGATATGCGGCTCAGCTAGTGTCCTTTTTTTTACCATGCACTTAGTCATATATCTTCTGGCCACTGTCATTCCTGGAGACCGCGTTCGGGGCTTTGGTTTGTGGACAACATTGCAGCGTTGATGGCCTTGGTCAAGGGCAGGAGCGACAACCCTGAGTTGGACACTATGGCAGGATGTATCCATGCTCCGTTGTATTCACTGCGTAGTGGTTGCTACTTTGAATGGGTCCAATCCGCTGACAATTGGTCCGACGGTATTAGCAGGCCAGGAATTCACGACGAATGGTATCAGGCCCATGGATTTCGTGTACATCGTGTTCCAGTACCTCCCTTTTTTTTTTTGCGAGTACCACCCTTAAAAGTCGTGTCTTCCAGTTCTTCTGAGTGCTTTGGGTATGTTAGAATGCATTGGAACGAATACCTGGCAGAGGTATGCACCAGGGGTGCACGCAGCGTGGGCTGCTGTGACAGGGTCACATTAACCAAAGCACTTTTGAACAAAGACTCTCAAGCTTGTGCGAAAAAGAATTCAGTCCGAATCTGATTCGTCTTATCTCAAGTCAAGTGTAACTGATGCAGCCGAATATATTCATTCATTCAAGGTAGGCAGGGTTGGTGATGAGGAATTATTTGATGTCATTCAGTTCACTCACTCCTTTTTAGCTTGAGGCTCAAGCCAAAAAGGAGTGTCGCTCCACAAGAATCAGTGTTGCTGATTCTTAAGATTTTTGTCCCACCCACCACCCTGTGCTCGGTACGAGTGGTTACAGGTGCATGTGGCAGCTGTCGGCCTGAGTCTCCACATTTGCGGTGCATCTGAGTGGTATCTTTTGGCCTGTGTGGTGTCGCCCACGGCGAGGCCTTGATTGTGGCAGCAGCCTGCAGGTGTCCACGGGTTTCTGCGTTTTGATGATGTCGTGTTCTTTTTGATCTAGTCTGGCATGCCTCCAGTACAGCCTATTTGAACCGGTAATCTGCTGTCTCATGGCCTCGAGTGGTAGCTGTCAGCCGAGTACCATG